CCTATAAATAACCTAGCATCAACATTTGGGTATTTTCCAAGCAGCTTCTTACACACATCGATGGCTGGATTATCATGATCCTGTACACAATGGAGTACTTCATATTCGGGATAATCCAGTTCAAAGAATTCCAAGTTGTTGATCAGATTAGGGTCCACCCCTTTCAGTGGCTTCAGAAGAGACGACACACTAGGGAGGTTGCTATAAGTTAGCTGTCTGTAGCCTTCTTGTTGAGGTGTAACCGGGTGTAGATGATGGGCGTGAAATGCATCAGCCACAGCATCACGAAGAGGATGAACCTGAACAAGGCCATTCCTTCCGGGCCAGGTCCAGCAGCGCCATCCCCCGGCCCGTTCCGGCCACCGCGGTGCACAGCGCTCTCGCGGGAGCTGCACTAGGTGGGCGCTCGGTGCCGGCGTGCAAGGGCCGGAGCGGGCGCGCGCACGGGGCTGCGGTGACTGGGCTGCGCGTTCCCGGCGGCCGTTACCGCGCGCTCCGGCTCCCGCGCTCCAGACCCTCCCGGTCGCGGCCCAGCACCTCTGCTGGTCCTGCTCGTTCGCTGCAGCTCTCTCTGTGTGAACTCTTATCTGCCTCATCTTCTGCCCCAAACAACCCAACCTGCTTTTTCTGTTGTGTCACAGCTTTCCAAGCTAGAAATCTTATCCGTGATTGTCCCTTCCTCCATCCGTCGGTTCTTCCGTCCCTCTCTCCCTCCCTTCCTCCTCCCTCCTATATGCTGTCACCGAGGGCTCCATACACTGCCCCCATCATTTTCCTCCCACCTGAGCCCACCAATGTTCCCTAGAATGTCATCCTTGGCCCACTCACCTCCCTCCTGAACCTTTGCAATGGCACCTACTTCCAGAACACTGCCCCTGTGCTCACCCTGTCAGTATAACAGATAATCTTCCAAAACTGGGGCTCTGGCCAGGTCGTTATCCGCTTAAAGCCTCCTCACAGGCTCTCCAAGTGAGAAATAATCCTCATCTAGGTACTCAGGCCTTTGATGATTCCATTCCAACACCCTTTCTCAGCTGTGTCTACCTATTCTCCTGATTTTTCTGCGATCTAAATGAATAGTGCACTTCCTTGAGCACCCTTTGACTAATAGCCTTTTCCCTCTCTTAGTCCATTGTTTTGGTGTGATCTTTCCGAGACAGGGTCTCCCTGTAGCCGCAGCTCTTGCATAACCTACTATCAATCCCCCACCATCTCATAACACAAGCACCTCTCACTAGGTTCTATCTCTTAAAAGTCCCAGCACCTTTAAATACCAGACATTGAGGACCACACTTCCAGAACGCAAGTCTTTGGGTTACAAACCATAACATCCTCTGACCTTATCTTTTGATATCACCTCTGCTGATATCCATTTCAAATATTATTTCATTACATTAACAATTTTTGTGTGTGCAGTGTATGTGTACATGTGTCGGGAGCCGTAGGCCCCTACCCCAGGAAATAGCAAGACCTGATTCCTGGCAAAGCTGTTTTTTAGACATCAAGGCTGGCCTGGTTTGAGATTAACCAGATGACTATACTTGAAAACCTCTCACAAACATGTTGTTCTAACCTGGGTACTTAACGCCTGAGAGACTCCCTCATTTTCTCATGTAATTGCTAGAAACTTTGGTGTTACTCTGTAATCATACAAGTGTAACCTCTTAATTGATTTATAACTTGCTATATAGAATTGTGGTGTTACTATGGAATTTATTCTGTGATCAATTGGTGTGGTGTTATTGTGATATTTGTTCTTTTAATTGAATTGCTCTTGGAATTTGGAATTTTCCCTGCCAACTTCCCCCTCTCCTCCCTATAAAAACTTTGTGTGAATGTTCATTAAATGAGACTTGATCAGAAAGCCTGTCTTGTCTCCATTCTTCGCATCTCTTGTCCCTTTCCGTCCCCCTTCCTCCCTCCAGAAACCCACGCATCTCTTGTCCCTTTCCATCCCTCTTTTCCTCCCTCCAGAAACCCACGCTGACTGTCTCGCGGGTCGGGACATACATGTGCTTGTGAGTCTGTGTTCATGTACATGTGGAAGCCAGAGACTGATGATGAGTGTCTTCCCTATTGACAGGGTCTCATTATGTAGCCTTGGCTGGCTTGGAACTTGCTATGCAGACCAGACTGGCCTCAAACTCTTGAACTGACAGATCTACCTGTCTCTGCCCCTCTCCATCCCGGTGCTGGGATTAAAGGTATGTGCCCATACCCTGCTTCCAACTTATTTTTTGAGATGGGGTCTTTTACTGAACCTGGAGCTCAACATTTCAGCTAGATTGGCTGGCCAGCAAATTCCAAGGATCAAGCTGCCTCTTGTGCCCCAGGGCTGGAGTTATAGATGCTTGCCACCGCATCCAGCTTTCTACATGCGTGCTGGTGACTGAACTCAGGTCCTCATGCTTATGTAGTAAACATTTTACCCATCAAGCCATCTCCTGAGCCCTCCCTCAACAATTCCTGAAACACCGGCTACATGCTAAGTATAATGCTAGACCCTGAGAATATACAAGTGACCAAGACAGTCACGGTCCCTGTCCTGGCGTAAAAGTCTAGTGAGAGGAACACTGAAAAGGTAGTCAGTTCCTGTAGGCATTCCTTTCAACACTAAAGTTATAGTTTGAATCTGATGTGCCACCAAAGCCTCAAGAGTTGAAGCCTTTGTCTCCAGTGGGTGGATCAAATCATGACGGCATTGGCCTGATCAACAGGCCTCTGGGTCTCTCTACCTCATCTGCCACGAGGTGAGCCACTTTGCATCACCATCTGCTCTCTGCAATGATGTTCTGCTTGTCATGCAGAGGCCAGAAAGCATGGAGCCACATAACCACAAATTTCATGAAACTATGAGCACAAACCCTTCCTTTATTAAACTGTTATCATAGGTATTTTGTCATACTGGAAGAAAACTAACCCATTCTGTTCCTATTGTCCCTAGGTAGGTCTCTTTCCTAGCCTCAACTTCTGCTCTATCTCTGAATGTTTTCTGTTCTCAAAGGCTCAGGACTGCTAACCGGATCATTCTGCATCTAGAAGGCCTAAAATTGGTTTTTGTTTTTTGTTTTTTTGTTTTTGTTTTTGAGACAGGATCTTGCTATATAATCCAAGGCGGGCTTTGAACTCTTGATTAGTTTGCCTCAGCCTCCCCAGCCCTCTTTTAAGCTTCTCTGCATTCCATACTTAAATGATTTTAGGTTTTTTTTTTTTTTTTGGTCTTTTTGAGACAGGGTCTCCCTGTAGCCCCAGCTGTCCTAGAACTCACTGTGTAGACCAGGCTGGCCTTGAACTCACAGAGATCTGCCTACCTCTGCCTTCTGAGTGCTGAGATTAAAGGCATGCGCCACCGTGCCCGGTCCAATTTTAGAAGTTTACACACACACACACACACACACACACACACACACATACACAGAGAGCAAGAGAACAGGAGAGTGAGAGAGAGCGCACCCTGGGTTCCTTCTGTCTGCTGCACTACAAAATAATGTTTTACATAATTACTTTTTTTGCATTAAAGATACATTCATTAAAACACACAGGGCCAATGAGATGGCTCATTGGGTAAATATGCATTACTGCAAAGTCTGATGACCTGAGCTCCATCCAGGGACCCACGTGATGAAAGGAGAGAACCACCCTGCAACAAGTTCTCTGAAATCCACATACACATTTTATGTAAAAACAAATTTAAAAACACATATATGGGAGCTGGAGAAATGGCTCTGTAGTTAAGAGCACTTGCTGTTGTTACAGAGACTGGGGTTCAGTTCTTAGCACCCACCTGTCAGCTACCCACGATCCATAATTCCAGTTCTAGGGGATCAGAGGCCCTCTTCTGGCACTTAACATTCAGGCAAAACACTCATACCAATAAATAATACAAACAATAAAATAAACCCACACACTTTCTTGTTCCAGTCTCTGAAGGTATCTTTGACTTGTGTTAGTTTCTTTCTTGTTTGGAGATGGGGGTTTCTGCATCATGGCTGCGCTGATCTCAAACTCCTAGGCTTAAATAACTTGCCACAGTCTCCCAAGTAGCTGGGGTAAAGTGGCACTTGCTTTCTGTTTTTGTTTCCTTTCTTGGTTTGGTTCTTACTTTTTAGGGTGATGGCTATGAAGAAAAAGGTACTTTTCTTGGCCTTTGCATATGTACCCTTCCTCCACATAAGTGTGATTAACTGGGATTGCTTTATTCGTCCTAAGGTATAGACAAAGGTGCCTGTGTTAACATGTCACTTAGAAGAACATTTAAGGAAGTTTGTATCTGAAGTTCCAACTGCTCTTAGTTGGTAAAGGCATGCCAGTACAAGAGCTCGTGGCTAGTACCACCATGTAAACCCCCAGGAAGTCGGGCCACAGTGTCCCTATAAAGCAGATGATTCCTCTTGAATTTTCCAGTTCTAGAAACTATAGAACTCGCCAAAAGGCGTCTGAAGTTGCAAAAGTGCTGTTAACTATAAAAATACAGGAAAGAAAAATCTTTTCTAAAAAATTATTATTTTATGTATACTTCTGTTTTGCCTGCATGTAGGTAAGTGCACCCGTGTCGTGCAAAGCCAGCGGAGGACAGAAGAGACTGTCGGAACCCCTGGAACTGGAGTTATGGACAGTTGTTAACTACTATGTGGGTGCTGGGATTCCAACCCGGGTCTTCTGCAAGAACAGTCAGTGTTCTTAACTGCTGAGCCCTCTCTCCAGCCCCAGAAGAAAAATCTTAATGAATCTGAATCGATTACACTCACTATGTAGACCAGGCTGGCCTTGAACTCACAGAGATCCGCCTGCCTCTGTCTCCCGAATGCTGGGATTAAAGGCGAGCGCCGCCCGGCTGAATCTATTACATTTTAGTCGGTTCCAACCCACACTGGCTGTGATTTATGACATACTAAAAACTTTTTAGAAAGCCAGTGTGTACCAACAAACATTCGGTCCTTCACTAACCCGGGAGCCACAGGAGTCGACCGCCGGCCCCACAGGCCTTTCCAGCAAGTGGCATTTCCGCCTCTCAGACGCTCCTCCCTCCCTGCCAGTCACGAGTTGTCTACAGGGCCCCGCCCCTCTTCCTGCTGATTGGGCAACTCCTGTCCTCTGATTGGTTGCCCTTTTCTGGCTCGCCCACCCAACCGGATATAGACCCCGGGCTTCCGCTTCTCTTTCCCCTTCCTCCCACTAGTCCTCCGGTAGCGGCCGCCAGCACAGCGTCCGCTGCCCGGGGCGGTTTCGGCGGGTCGGTCGGTTGGGCTCGGCTTCGGGTCGGTGCGGTTGAGTAGCCGTCATGGCTGAGCTGGATCCATTCGGCGCTCCCTCTGGCGCGCCAAGCGGCCCCGCGCTGGGGAATGGGGTGGCGGGCGCGGGCGAGGAAGACCCGGCCGCGGCCTTCTTGGCGCAGCAGGAGAGCGAGATTGCGGGCATCGAGAACGACGAGGCTTTCGCCATTCTGGACGGCGGTGCCCCCGGGCCACAGGCGCACGGAGAGCCTCCGGGGGGTCCGGGTGAGAGGACGGCGGCATCCAGGCGGGAGGACTGGCGGGGAAGCTGGGGTCGGGGTGGGTCGGTGCGCTTCTGTGGGTTGGTGCTCCCGGCTGAAGCAGGGGTTAGGAGGCGCGCAAAGAGGAAGCGAGACCCCAGCCCGGCCATGCACAAACCTCCGCTGGAGCAGGCTGCGGGCCTCCGAGTACCTGAGTGCTGCTGGGTCGGCGCGGAGGAGAGCAAGATGCTGTGCCTGTAGGGCTCTGGAGCCGGTTCTGTCCAACTTGTTACGAAGCACTGAGTGTGCTTTAAGCCTGGTCTCAGAAGCAGCCGCATTAGCGCAGTTTGGCCAGAATTACAGAGCCCACCCAGAAAGAACCGCGTATTAGGAAAGGAGGGTGGGAAAAGACTACTTGAGACATACAAGCAAGCAAAATGGCAACGTAGTTCTGGAGTTAAGATATGTGGAATGTTGGCTTATGGGGAGGAAGGGCGATGTGAATAAGTTCAGAAAAGATGGTCTAACTCTGGAGGAAGAAACTGGCCCGGAAGAATAATTGGTACCGTTGTTGAGTGTATCGCGGCCGGGACTCCTGATGCTCTTCCTGTGGAATCAGCTTTGGAAGGCCGTATCGCCCAGAAAAACCTAATCCAAGAGGGAAAAAAGGTGACTATAGAGTGCAGTGTGGCCTTTCCCCAGCCAACTCAAGCAAAAGAGAAAGGGGGGCAGGGATAGGATGAGAGTTTGACCTTTGGATGCTTTCACTGTGTGTGATGCTTAGGATTGTGGTGTGGGAGGAAAGGTTGAGTGGTAAAGACCTATTCAGTAGTTTAGGGAAGTAGGAAATTCGCTAGAAAAAAGCGAGACACAATGACTTTTCCTTTACAGAAAACAAAAACAAAAAAGAAACAAGCTTGGCATTGTGGGGTATACACTTAGGTATTTGGGAAGCTGTGGCGGGAGGTACTACCAGTCTGAGTAACAGAGTGAGCCCCTCCTCCCCAATTAAAAAAATACAACTTAAAAAGAAAATGGCACTCTGGCCAAGTAGGAATGCCTACACTGTAAGCACTAGGCTCACAGGGCCAGGTGACACAAATGAGGAAAACAGCATGAGACAGTGAGTGTTGGAGAGAGGCTTTGGTGCGCAGGAATTGTGCTTTGTGATGAGACCCAGAAATCTCAAATTACTATTCCAACCAAGCAGAAGATTTTGGGGCAGTTTGCAGCCTCTAAGATTTTGTACTATACCGTGCTACCTCTTAGACAAATCAGCCCCCAACAGGAACTTAACAAAAATGTGTAATACACCAAAATACGCAATTTACAATAAGCAGCTTGGACAGAACTGGGCTGCAACCTGGAGATGAAGTTGACCATATGTGGTTAGAGTTGCTCTTGGGGTGTTTAAAATTTGCCTGAGAATTTTAAAAATTGACTTTTTAGCTCCGTAATTTCCTAGATGGAGGTGACTTGGTTAAGAAGAGGATGGACCCCAAGTCAGCTCTCCTTTAGACTGCTGCATTCTAAGCAGTCACACAGCTGTTCTGCCTGAGCATACTGTTTGGGGCAGGCAAAAATTGGGAGACGAAGGACCCATAGTTAGGAGACTTGTGATTTCAAGGGACAGTGTTATAGGTCTTCACTGTCACATCTTAGCAGGGTGTCTGACTATAGTAGGTGTTCGGTGCATAACATAGAAATGGGCAAAAAGAGTCCTGTACAAGCTCTTGGGTAAGCAGTTTGGGAAGATAAAACCCAGATACTAGAGCTGCACACTTGAGCCTTTTGTGCATCAAGCTTTCAGCAAAGGGAAGGAAAGGAACACTTGCTGACTTAGTTCCTGGGAAGACATTCTTTGGAACTAAGCATTTAGTGACTTAATGCCAGGTCCTGAGAGTGTGTTGAGGTTGGTAATAGTGCACTGTCAGCATTTCCTTTTGGGATTAGAGAACTTGTTGGACACTTTCATACGAACACACTAGTGGTTGAAATTCTGTACTATTCTGTGCTGCTTGAGTGTGAGCTTTATGGTCTGAGGCAATTTATATGACTACCATCACTGCCCAGCACGTTTCCTTCTCTGTAAGAAGGTACGTTATATATGCCACATAATGTTTTTAGGATTATATTAAAGAGTGTCTATAAAGTGCTTACTGGTATGTAGTAAGCACCCAGCGAATTTTAGTTGCTTTTATTTCCTATGAAGAAAGGAGTTAGAAGGTTATAGGCTTTGGGATATACTGAGTAAATTGAGAGGTGGTAGTAGGTGGGAGCTCTATTGTGTGTGTATTCTCCAGAGAGAGGGAGAGTCAGAGATGGGCAGTAGGCTATAACTGATGTGGAAAGAGGAAAAGATCTAAACTTACTCCCTCTATGGGGGAAATTACCATGGAAGATGGGCACAGACAAAACAGAAGGATGAGCCTTACATAACTCTATCAGTTGTTAGGACCTCAAGAGACGAGACCTAAGTTTAGAGTTAGGAGGCAACCTGGATGGAGTAGCTTGTGAGTATTGAGGAAGCACAGGTGGTCAGGGAGCAGGCAGCACAAGTCCTGAAAAAAAAATCTCTCAGTTTTGGGGACTCTGGGGGGTGGGGGGAATGGGACTGGAGAGAACAGAAAGGATTGAGGAACAGGGGAGTGACTAAGGTGTGACTAAGTACTGTTTCTGACAAGACAAGTCCTTTCTTGAAGGAGAAAGGTGCAGGAGATGAATTGAATTAAGGGAAAGCTTTGTGGAGGGAGTGTAGTCTCTCTAACCTCAGCTGTCCTGGACTTGATAATATATACCAGGCTGGCCTGGATTGCTAAGATCTGCCTACCTCTGCCTCCTGAGTGCTGTTATCAAAGGTGTGCTACAACTCTCAGCAAGGGAATGTAATCTTAATGGTGGAAATGAGAGAAACTAAGAGAATGTCACCCATGATGTTTGGTGAGTGTGCGTTTACTGTGTGTCAGGTACTCCTTATACTTTTGTAGCTCTATAAGCTAAGTAGTAGAATCGTCGTATTTCAGGTGAGAACTGATGACTGGGCTAGTTAAGCAGTGTTCCTAAGGTAGTAAGCTAATAAGTGGCTCAGCTAGGATTCAACCCTAGGTCTGCTTGACTTCAAATATTGGGGAACATGAAAAGTTGAAGGTGATTTGCTCTTCGGAAACTTAACTCTGACTCTAATTTCTTTTCTTTTTTTTTTTTTTTTTTTTTTTTTTTTTTTTGTCCTTTTGAGACAGCGCCTGCCTGTAGCACCAGCTGGCCTGGCTATGTAGGCCAGGCCTTGAACTCACAGAGATCCACCTGCCTCTTCCTCTACCCAGCCTCTAGTTTTCTTTCTGGACATTTTAAGATGCCTGAGAAAGTTTTTCTTCTGGATCATTGAGTTACTTAGCTTAGCTCTTCTAAATAAAGGACCCTAGATATAATTTCTCTTTGTTTCTGTCCTTTGACCTGGGTCAGTGACTTATAAAACAATGTTAGAACAGTAGTACAACAAATAATAGAGAGCTTAAAGTATGCACCAGAGGACCTGGATGAGTCTGCAGACCTGAAGGACAAGCTGCATGTAGTTTAGGAGGTGTGGGATGAGCATTGCTCCCGTTTTACATACAGAGTAATGACTAGAGTCTTTTCTTTTGGAATTGTCCTTGCCTGGGCTGGAATATATTAACTGGGTAGTTGATGTGCTAGCTATAATATATTAACCATAGTGTGGGACTGGCCAGGCTAGCCATTGTGGGCTCTAGGATTTAAAGCAATCTCAACCTTCTGTCTTACACAAAAATAAAATCCAGGTGGATTTAAGAGAGGCATTTTAAAATTATCAGAAGAAAGAAGGTATTGTGGGATGGCCTGCAGTGTCAAAGCAGATATAGATGTCACAAAGGAAGAGTTGTTAACATTTACATACTTTTTTTTTTAAATTGTTGAGATGGTCTCACTGTGTAGCACTGGCTGTCTGGCCTGGACCTCCTAGCAATCCATCTGCCTCTGGAGTGCTGGGAGTGCTACCATGCCTCTCTTAAGAACAAGTTAAGTACTAGTCCTAGGTGCTAAGTATCATAAACCAAGTTAAAAGACAAAATAGGGTGCTGGGAATGCAATTTACTTGGTGGAATGCTGGCCTATCATGCATGAAGCCCTGGGTTCATTCCCTAGCATCACATAACTGGGTGTGGTAGTACATACCTATAATCTGATCCCTTGGGAAGTGGAGGGCAGGGATTAGAACTTTGAAGTCATTCTCAGCTGCATAACAAGCTTGAGGCCAACCTGAGCTGTTAGATAAGATCTGTCACAAAAATTAAAAATTAAGGGGGGGAATGGAACTGGGGAGGTGACTCATTTGGTAAAGTGCTTGCTAGTACCACAAATGTGAGAACCTGAATTCATACCCCCAGTGCTCACACTAAAGCTGGCACTGTGGTGTGTTCCTTTATTATCCCAGTGCTGGGCAAAGGAGGCAAGAAGATCCCTGGGGCATGCTGGCCCACCAGTCAGTCAGTGAGCTCCAGGTTCAGTGAGATACCCTGTCTCAAAAAATAGAGAGCTGGGCGTGGTGGCACAGGTACTTGGGAGGCAGAGGTAGGTGGATCTCTGTGAGTTAAAGGCCAGCCTGATCTACATAGTGAGTTCCAGGTCAGCTGGAGCTACAGGGAGACCCTGTCTCAAAGGGACCCAACAAATAATAATAACAATTAAATGATAATAATAAAGTAGAGGGACTGGAGAGATGAACACTGCTCTTGCAGAGGACCCAGGTTCGAATTCCACCACTCACATGGCCAGTAACAACCATCTGTAACTCCAGTACCAGGGAATCTAACACCCTCTTTGACCTCTGAGGGCTTTGCACGACACAAGTGCACTTAATGTATATGTAGGCAAAACACTCATACACATAAAAATAATAAGATACCCAGGTGTGGTGACGGGCGCCTTTAATCCCAGCACTTGGCAGGCAGAGGCAGGCGGAGCTCTGTGAGATCAATGCCAGCCTGGTGCACACAGTGAGTTGCAGGAAGGCTGGGGATAGGGAGACCCTGTCAAAAACTTAAAACAAAAACAAAGCAAAACAAATAAATAAACCAAAAAAATGGGCTGGTGAGATGGCTCAGCGATTAAGAAAGAGCATTAGCTGCTCTAAAAGAGAACCCAGGTTCAATTCCCAGCACCTACATGGCAGCTAACAACCATCCATAACTACTTCCAAGGGATCTGATGCCTCTTCTGATCTCCATGGACATTGCACGATATGGATGTACTTACATACATGCAGACAATCAACTCATACACATAAAATAATAAAAGTAAAATATTTAAAACAAACAAAAAAACAAAACAAGAATAACAACAAAAAAGAAACAAAAAATTGTTCAAATGAACCAGGCATGGTGTGTGTGGTTGTAGCCCCAGCTACTTAGGAGGCTAAGGCTGGAGACTTGCTTACGTCTACGTTTGCAAAAAGATGGACAACATAGTAAAACGCCATCTCAAAGAACAAACACATAAGCAAAAATAAAAAAATTTTAAATGGTAAAATTAGCAGAGTTTGTAAGCCATTACCTCAATTAAAATGATCAGTGACACAATATACCAACACGACTGACTTGTGTGTGCACTTTAAATGGCTGAAATTATGGTGTTATAGGCATGTGTTACACCTAGCTTATATGGCACTGGAACGCACACCTTTAGTCCCAGCACTCGGGAGGCAGAGGCTGGCAGATCTCTGTGCGTTCAAGGCCAGCCTGATCTACATAGTGAGTTCCAGGACAGCTGGGGCTACAGGGAGACGCTGTCTCAAAAAGACCAAGAAAAAAAAATAATAAAAATAATAATAAAGTGGAGAAGAATTGAGGAAGACCTCTGCCCTCCACATGCATCCACACCCACACATTTGTTCGTACACAGCTAAGAGAAAAAAGACAGAATGGTGGTAAATATTTGCAGTATGACAAGACTTAATGAAGAAAACCTGATGGTCAAAAGATAGCAAAAACAGGAAAGCTCAGACAATACGGTAAAGAAAATCAGATGTCACATGTATTACTTCACAGGGAATAAGTAGTCTTCAGAATAAATATATCCTGTGACCTAGCAGTTCTACAACAAGAAATTTATTGCAGGGGAGCAGTTGAAAATGCTAGCCAGTCACTTTTATTCATTTCTTAGTAACCTTTGTTAAAATCGATAGACTGTATGCCACCTGCCTTTTGGTTTCTTGATATAGGGTATAGGGTCTTGCTCTATGGCACAGGCTGACCTGGAATTTGCTGTATAGCCCAGGTTGGCCTCCCAACTCTGATCTTTCTGCCTTGACTTCCTGACTGCTGGCTCTATAGACATGTACCACTATGCACAGTTCAATGTGTGTGTGTGTGTGTGTGTGTGTGTGTGTGTGTGTGTGTGTGTGTTGGCACACTTGTGAAAGCCAGAGAACAACTTGTAAGAGTCAGTTCTTTGCTTCCACTCTGTGGGTTCCAGGGATTGAACTCAGGTCGTTAGGCTTGGTCACAAGCACGTTTGCCCACTGAGTCATCTTGCCAGCCCCTTGTACAATTCTCAAGAAAAATTATTTTTGTGTGTATCCTTGGGTCTGTCGTTTGTCTGTTTTCCGAGTATGTGCAGGAGCCTGCAGATATCAGAAGTGGATGTCAGATTCCCTGGATCTGGCACTTGTGAGCTAGCATGTGGGTGCTGGGAATTGAACCTGGGTTCTCTGCAAGAGCAGTAAGCCTCTTGCTGAGCCATCTCTCTAGTGGCCCCCATACAATTTTTAAAACAGTATAAAGTAATGAAAGGCCATTGATAATCAATAAGCGACACTATCATAAAGCACAGGAGTGACTAGGGGTATAGGTCAGTGGTAAAGCCTGTTTATGGTCCTGGGTTCAATCCCTAGCACCAGGAAAGAGAAAAAAAACCATAATGAACAGGAATAAGCAGTTACGGAAATTAAGAAAAATAGAGGAACTATGTTGAAATAATGAAATTCAAGCAAACCAGTGGTTGAAACAAATCAAAACTCAGGTGAATTACTGTATTCTTATACTCTGTTGTTTGTGTGTATGAGTGTATTGCCTGCATGTATGTAAGTGCACCTGTGTTGTGCAGTGCCCACAGAGGACAGAAGAGAGTGTTGGATCCCCTGGAACTGGAGTTACAGACAGTTGTTAGCTGCCATGTGGGTGCTGGGATTCAAACCCCGGTCTTCTGCATGAGCAGCCAGTGTTCTTAACCACTGAGTCATCTCTCCAGCTCTGGGATTAGCATTGTTAAAAAATTACATTTATTATTGTGTGTATGTGTAACTGCATGTGCGCCACTGGAGGTCAGGTCAGGACAACTTGCAGGAATTGGTTCTCTGCTTCTACCATGTGCATCCTGAGGATTGAACTCAGGTCATCAGGTCTGGCAGTAAGTGCCTCTACTCTGCTGTGCCCACTTTAAGTCTCACTATTTAGTAGTTTGCAGTGTCTACAGAATAAAGAACTACATTCCACCGTATAGTCCTTAATCCTTTGGCCAGCATTTGAGTAGCCCTGATTGACAGGCTAAAATCTTATGTCTTACAGATGGTGTTGATGGAGTGATGAATGGTGAATACTACCAGGTACAGAGTACTCTGATTATATTAAATGATAGCAGTCTAGAGTTTCATCTGTGATTTGAATTGACCCACCTTGAAAGAGACCCCAATGCTGGTGCATTAACATTATCTACCAAAGTGGAGGATAAGTGGCATTGATAGAACATTTTTTAAAAGATTTTATTTTTCTATGTATAAGTGTTTGGCCTGCGTTTATATAAGTGTGCCTTTGTCATATAATGCTCATGGAGGCCAGAAGGTGTGGGATCTTCTAGAACTGGAGCTACTGATGGGTGGGTGTTAGCCACCATGTGGGTGCTGGGAACCAAACCCAGGTCCTCTGGAAGAGTAGCAAGTGCTCTTAACCCTGAGCCATCTCTACAGCCCTGTTTTTGTTTTCTGTTTTTGGTTTTTTGTTTTGTTTTTTTAAAAACAGGGTCTTGTTGGGCATGGTGGCACACACCTTTAATCCCAGCACTTGGGAGGCAGAGGCAGGAGGATCTCAGTTCAAGGCCGGCCTGGTCTACATAGTGAGCATAGTGAGTTCCAGGACAGCTGGGGCTACAGAGACACCCTGTCTCAAAAAGACCAAAAACAAAACAAACAAACAAAAAAAAACAGGGTCTTACTCTGCAGCCTCCATTGGCCTTGGACCCTTTGCAATCCTCCTGCCTCAGCTTTCCAAGTGATGGGATTATAGGTATGAGCCACTGTGCCCAGCTAAGAACATTGTTTGAAAGCTTACTAAATCTGCCCTAATGTTACTGACTTTTCTCAGGAAGTAACCCTTCTTGATGATGATGGTGATGGCCATTTTAAAGACTGTGTGCCATGTACTGGGTCAAGCACTGTAATAAGTTAGTTACTAGTACTTTAAATAATTCTCTTTCCATCTTTGTTAATAGCTTGATAAATTTAAGCTGGTAATAATTCCTCCTTGACCCAGTGGAATAAGTCTCAGTCAACATCCATGACTTTGAATTGGTTTATTAACTCTCAGATCAGACCTCATAAAGCACTCCTCCCTGACTCATCCTTACCTGCCTTTTTATTCTCTCTCTGGTTTAACTGTAGTTGTTACACTTTTTTTTTTTTTTTTGCCTCTTTCCTAGAACTTACTATGTTTTGATAGCTGATATTAAATGACTTTTGCCTGAATGGTATAATAACATTTGTTTGTTTTGTTTTGTTTTGATTTCTTTGAGTTTTTGAGCAGGGTCTCCCTGTAACTGGCCTCTGCCTCCTAAGTGCTAGGATTAAAGGCATGTACCATTACACCTGGCTTTATAATAGCATTTGAAGTCTTGGGCTCTAGGTCTTTCTTTGCTGTGCACTCACCAGAATTTAAAAGCATAACGCATAATCTCTGTGTCAAGTGAAGAAAATATGTCCATTGCCCACCTACCTTCAGCTTGCCTATTGCCCACTCATTTCCCACTCATCAGCAGATAACAACTACTCTTCCTTATGAGATTGCAGAGATTCAGTGCAGTAATGAAAGCTCTCTCCTGGTATGGAAAGTTGAATTTATTTAAAGGAAACCTCTAACATTTACAACAGCAACCAGTCGGGGCTGGAGAGATGGCTCAGCGGTTAAGAGCACTGACTGCTCTTGTAGAGGACTCAGGTTCGATTCTCAGCTACCACAAGGCAGCTATCAACTGTAACTCCAGTTCCAGGGGATCTGCCCTCTTCTGACCTCCATGGGCATTGTACAACATGGGTGCCCCTACCTATGTGCAAACAATATACTCATACACATAAAATAAAAATGATAAATAAAATATTTAAAAAACAATAGCCACCAGTGCTATATGTAACCAGAAGTTCTAATTTTTATAAGGTGTATTTCAGGAGGGAAATTTGGATACTGATAGAGTATAATTGTGTTTGTGTTAAGGAGAGTAATGGTCCAACAGACAGTTATGCAGCTATTTCAGAAGTGGATCGATTGCAATCAGAGCCTGAAAGTATCCGTAAATGGAGAGAAGAGCAAAGGGAACGCTTGGAAGCCCTGGGTAAGGAATCCTTTTCTATCTTTGGGTATCTGTTTTCAGTGGAAGAGTTGATCTGGACTCTACTTCTATTCCCTTTTAACATAGTGTCTTTGGTCTTTGGGAAGCTGGTTTCTCAGCCTGAAGGTCACAAGGCCACTGACATGGCTATGCTTAATCATACCTGGGCTGTTACGGGAGGAATATGGTAGTAGAGAGAGTCATCTCCTTCAGAAAGACAGAGTGGTGGTATGGGAAGAGCCTTGGACTTGAAGTGAAAGGCTGGGTTCAAGACTTGACTCTTGATTGTATATGTGGGCATTTGGTTGTTCAGGTCCTTCAGTCTGTCCTCCTCTGAAGGAGTATCAGTGGTGTTGACCTCAAGGGTAACTGAAAGGGTTTTTATGAGAGTGCTTTGGGAACTAAAGTCCTGTCCACATGAGTGACAGTCATACTTCCTTTACCATTTGAAGGATGAATTTAGGCAAGCACAAGGAAAATCCAAAGTATGTTAGGAAATGTGTTAGTCCTTTCCCACCTATTTATATTTGTGATGAAACATCTGAGAAATCAGGTTTGGCTCACATGTCAGAGGTGTCAATCTATGGGCTACTGGCTCCTTTGCTTTTAGCTTTAGGTCTGACAAGGCAGAAGCATCATGGCACAACCAGTGTGGTGGAGAAAAATTTGTCCACCTCTTGGCAGCTAGGAAGCAGAGACAGGTGAGCCGAGGAGGTCATGGGGAACACACACCTTCAGAGGCATTCCTCCAGCCAGCACTTCCTTCAGTCAGGCCTCACCTTCCAGTGATCCATTCAGTTTTGTATCAGTCATGGAGTGATCATTGATTAGGATAGATCTCTCACAGTCCGGTCACTTCTTAATAGTGCCACTGGCTAGGGACCAAGCCATTAGTACATGAGCCTTTTTAGGGGGATTCATGTCTAAATCATAATAGGAAATCTACATTTTGGGATTTGGGAGGTGGGGTTAGTGTTGTTTTTTTTAAAAAAAACCTTACTATCCCTATAAAGTAAGTGTTTACATTTTTATGAGTAAAGAAATTGAGGGTTATAGATAGTATTTGAAATGAACAGCTAAGAAGTAGTAAAGCAGAGTTTGACTTTGTCTCACTTGCTTCAAGATCCATATTCATCCCCTTGAGCCACATTGCTTTTGAAATGCATTCAGTGTACATGGCCATCTTGCTGGGTAGGCCAAGCCCAGCTTCAGGATCCACCAGCCTGGCCTCTGGTAGATTTGTGAACCTTCATTTGTGATCAGGAGAGACCTGCTATCTGTACATGGTGGGTCAGAGTGGCATGCCAGTGTGAGGAGGTAGCCCAGAGTGTATTCTTTTCTCAGCTTCTTATTAAAATAACAGACATACTCTAGGCATGGTGGCACATATCTTTAAAAATATTTTATTTATTATTTTTATTTTATTTTTTGTGTATGAGTGTATTGCCTACATGTAGGTAAGTGCACCCGTGTCATGCAATGCCCACGGAGGACAGAAGAAGCTGTCGGATCCCATGGAACTGGAGTTATGGACAGTTGCTAGCTGCCATGTGGGTGCTGGGATTTGAACTCGGGTCCTCTGCAAGAACAACCAGTGCTCTTAACTGCTGTGCCATCTCTCCAGCCCCTGGTGGCACATATCTTTAATCCCAGCCCTTGGGAGGCAAAGGCAGGCAGGTCTTTGTGAGATTGAAGCCAGCCTGGTCTGCATCATGAGTTCCAGGCCAGCTGGAGACCCTCTCATCCCCCCACCACCCCACCAAATTTACAAATAAATTTTGTGTGTGTGTGTGTGTGTGTGTGTGTAATGTCAAACATAATAGTGGAAAGGAAAGTTAACATTGAATAATTTTCATTGTGCTGTATTGGATATCTATGTATGTATACTTTATATAGTATTTACACGTATGCCTTTTGTTCTGGCTGATCTGCTTTAATAGACAGCGTCCTGTCTATTTTATTGTACATCTTGTAGAAACAATGGCATTCTCCCATGTACCCACATTGCCAGCAGTATTCTCTCGTGAGGGCATTGACCTAGTGGAAGCATGCCTCCTTATTTTTCAGATGGGGTAACTGACACCTGGAAATAGGAAAGAACTTGACCCAAATGACTTAGCCAAATAACTAACATATCAGCTCTTTTCTCCCTGGTTCAATTTGCACAACTTTCCAAAAAAAGATACATTTATGATTGCCCTTCTGTAGCAGCACTGTCTGAATGTAATTTCTTCAGTGGAAATGTTTGGTGTCTATTCTGTAGACCAATTCTCCTAATATTTAATAGGGTACGGTGATAATATGGTAGCCACAGGCCACATGTAGATATTTAAATAGCCAGTGTAGATACTTAGTAGCTTGTACCTACTGTGTCAAATAGTGTAGCTTTAGGAAGGTGAAAATAGGTTGTCAGGTGCCAGTAGCTTTGGTCTTTGCTGCTTGTTTCTTGTGTGTCTTTAGTGAAGGCTTTAGAGGCAAAGCTTGTCTTCACAGAAAGACAAGCTTGGTGGGGGAGATTTCATTTTCTTTTTAAATTATCAAGTTTTGTACCTTGTGACTACTGTGTGACGAATAGTATTTTTAACTCATGATACCTTTTTTTTTCCTTTCGAGACAAAGAGTTTCACAGTGTAGCCTTGGCTGGGCTGAAACTTGCTATGTAGACCAAGCTAGCCTCAGCCTTCTGAGTGCTGAGATTACAGGTGTTCACTACCACTCCCAGTTCAAGATGCCTTCTTGAGAGAAGTCAAACAGTTGGCCTGTGAAATTGTGAAATTGATCCACAAATAGGGTGTTTCTTCAGTTTTACCCTTTTCTCCACAAGAACTGTGAGAAAGCACAAAATGTTAAAAATGTAGAACCAGTGTCAGTGGTTTTGCTTAGCCACTCGCTATGTTCTCAGTAGTTTTCTTTTTGTAAGGAACAATAAGGGTGGGCGTAGAAGAAGGTGCCTATCAGCATGCCTTGCTTGCTAAGGAGACGTCCTACACTCCTGCCCCAACTCATGGGCTTAGATCTGTGTCTCATCAGGCTAAGTAAACACTGAAGAACTCTGAATTCTGCCTGCAATTGTCAGATCCTAAATCTGTAAAAGCCAGAAGACAATTAAATGTCCTGTTTTATATACTGACTACATTCTGTTACAGATGGTCACAATTTTTACTTAATTTACTTTTAAACTAATCTTTCTCAGAAAAGTTTCCATGATATTTTGGTCCAAATATTTAATTTAAAAAATTGTGCTGGGTTAACACCCAGCATACATTCCTATAATACTAGCACTTGAGAGACAGAGATCGGAGGATCACAAGTTTAAGGCTAGTCTGGGCTACCTAATGAGAACCTGTCTCAAAAAACAAAGACACAAAAAACCAAAAATATTTTTAGTAGTCTTTAGAATACATCAAAAGGATATACTCTCCAATCAAAAAGTACTTAAAATTTTTTTGAATACTTATATATTTGTGTGTGTGCATGCATGAGCACATGTGCTTGTAGCAGTCAAAGGACCTCTAGGGATTGGTTCTTTCCTTCCATCATGGGGTTCCATGGATTGAACTCAAGGTGTCAGGCTTGTGTTGCAAGTGGTTTTTTACCCACTGAGCCATTTCATCAACCCCAAAAGCACTTTTTTGGGAGTAATTCACACTATGAAAGACTTTGCATTTAGGTTTGGTGGTAGTTTTTCATTTCTTTCCTGTTCCTATGGTACCATCAACTCCAGCATCTCTTGTTGTAACATAGTATGTCTTCTGCTCTATGTGTTCCATGGCCAGAAACATCAGAAGTTACCTGGATATATGTTACAGTTTTCAGTGGAAACTCCAAGTAAATGATTCTCCTTTCAAATGAGTTAAATACGGAAGTGAAGAATTCCTTATATGAAACTCTGAGATAGCTTCCAGTTGTTACTGGGCTATTTTAGAGACACATCCTTGTTCACATTTTTACTATGTTTCTTGTAAAAGCCCTAAAAATGCCCGAGAATGCTTTGTTTCTTCTCTTCAAGTTGTTGCCTGATACCATGTCTGGTTCTACTTTCCTCTAAGATACTAATTACAGGTTTTGAACTCTTGCTCTGCACGTTAAGAACTCTCTGGATTACTAGTAGCAGTGATGGTCATATCATGTGATTATTTCCAGGTTTGCATGAGGTCAAAGTATGAGCTTTAGAGTCAGTTTGGGGTTTGGAGTTTGACTCTGCTCCTTACTTAGCAGGGTCACTTGACATTCTGTTTGTTTTTTATCATTGCTTAAAATGGACCTAGAATTTACTGCCTTCTTGATTATTGTAAAGATTGAGTAAGATGTATGTAAAACACCTGCCAGAGAGGATGGCCTTCAGAGCATGCTTGAAGTAGCACAGTAATTTCAAATACCACTTGCATGACTAGCTATGACATGGAACCTTTATTTCTCTAGTGATACATATCTCTTCAACTAAATGTTTGAGGGAAAACCACATTTAATCTTAAGAACTTTTATATTTGAGAATACAGTCTAGCAAATCTAGGTGTGCATTTTCTTATTGTGTCTAGAACCTATTGATTAATTGTTAATTAATTGGTCTCATTCCCTGGTCCCCTGCAGCTCTCTCCATTGGTGTTTTCATTTATAGATAACAATGCTTATACTACCACAGACTCAGCTCTGCAGTCTGAGTAGTTGTACTGTAGTCTACCATTCTCTGATTCCTGAATAATTTCTGTTAGTCTTCCTAATAGTTCCCTGCTTCACATATTTAGTTAGGAGAGTACCACTTTGTGTTTTATAAAAACTAATGACCAAACGTGGATGGTGAACTATATAGTTTGTGGGAAGAGTTAGAAGATAAACTGTTACTGGACTTAAGATGTAATACAGTTGGTAGAGTGCTTGCCTAGCCTGTACAAAGCCAGTACAGCATAAAACTGGGCATAGTTGTATATTCCTGTTATCCCAGCACTCAGGAGGTAGAAACAGGAAGATAAGTTCAGGGTTGGCAATATTTTAAAAATATTAATAATAAATAAATTTTTAAAAAATGTTAATTGTGTGTTTCTAGGGATTGAACCCAAATCCTTGTGCATGCTAGGTAAGCACTACCACTGAACTACAGTCCCAGCCAGAACAATCCAATATTGAATACCCTAATATGAATTAATATTAGCAGCATAGTTAAAGGATCATCTATACTTGATTATTCCCCAATTAGTGTACCAGAAGGCTTTTTTTCTTCTGATGGTAAGTGGGTTGTTGGTTGAAATAGAGTCTCTTGTAGCCAAGGCTGGGCCTTGAATTCACTAGTCAAAACTGGCCTTGAACTCAGGATTCTCTCACTTCATGTCCCAAATACCAGAGTTACAGGTATGAGTTGCCATACCCAATTACCAGGAGGCGTTTTCCTGTTCAGTCAGTATTTCTACAATTTTCTCTTCCTCCTGCTAAAACCGGTTTCAGTTGAATTGAATTTATGGTCCATGAGCAAGGTCCATTTAGTGTCCTCCATGGTGTCTGTGGACCAGGATAAGATGGGTAAAAGACCAGGAATATGATCACTGAGATCAATAGTTGGTTATTCAAAGAGAAGAAAATGGAATTTTATTTTCTTCTCTCTGCTGTTTTTTCCCCATCACACATGCATGCACACATACCCATGTTTAAATTCATTGAGACCAAAATGTTAATGCTTGTTGAAATAAATTTTAAGTTTTCCTTCACCTCATTGGTACTCTTCTGTTCTCTCCTTCTAAAGATGCCAATTCCCGGAAGCAGGAAGCAGAGTGGAAAGAAAAGGCAATGAAGGAACTAGAAGAATGGTATGCCAGACAGGACGAGCAGCTACAGAAAACAAAAGCAAACAACAGGTCAGTCAGTGGTGGTTGTAGACGACCCTGTGTTCCGAGACTAACTCAGTCTATTTTCTAGCATCAAGTCTAGGTTCTTGGTTGTGTCCTCCTTCAGTGTGAAATGTTTTGACAGATTTGGAAGAAGTGTTTAAAACAGGTTGCAAGTCTCCTGGGTCTTGTGAGCATAATTCAGCTGGTCCTTTAGACCCATACCTGTAACTTTGGTATTTGGGATATGAAGTCAGAGGATCAGGAGTCCAAGGCCAGCTTTGGCTATCTAGTGAGTTCAAGGCCCAGCCTAGCCTTGGCTACATGAGACTCTGTTTCAGCTATATTGAGTGTGGCTCTTAAACTGAGTTTGATTTGTATCAGCTAGAACGGTATGTACAGGAGAACCCTGAAATGAAAGGTCAGTTTCATGCTGTCTCAGGATCTCCTTACTTTGGAGATGATTATAGACTTGCTAATGTTGCATTCCCTAAATGGAACCCTGCCTTCTGAAAGAGGCTTCATCAGCGGTCCTTAGCATGGGAGTGTGCTCTGTAATTAGGTAGCTAAGGATGTTCCAACAGAGACTACAGAATTAAGGGTTCACTCAGTACTTACCTGTACTTATGAAGTCTTGAACTGGCTTCATTAAAAATGACTTTTTCAGGGGGTTGGGGATTTAGCTCAGTGGTAGAGTGCTTGAGGCCCTGAGTTTGGTCCTCAGCTCTGGGGAAAAAAAAAAGACAAAATAACAAAAATGCCTTTTTCAGAATGTAGTTTACACTTCTTGAAGGTTCAAGAAAGTGGGGAGAAAACACATTCGTTCTCATACCCTTACCAAGCAGTAGCTATGGTATGCACTCATTTCTGAGAAGCCATGTTTCTTGGAAGCCCTTCTTGGAAGACTCTCCTCTTTGGAGATAGCCTACTGGTATATGTGCAGTGTGGCCCCTCAGGTGAGGCAGATTGGCTTACTTCTGCTGGAGCCTACCTTTCACTGAACAGGACGCACTCCATTAACATTAGTGTGGAAAAGCAGATCAGCCAGGGCCTGAGGGTAGTTTTAATTTTCAAGGCATGTAGTGCCTTAGGTTACTGTATGTGAGCTAGCAGCTCTATTAGGTGGAACTCTATCAGGAAAAATGTAGTTAACTCTTTCACCAGCCAGCTGATGCCATTGTGGGGCAACTGACAGAGTGGATTGACTTTCATACAACAGTCCTTTACTCCTTGTGTCCTTTGTCATCCTTGGTTCTGTCAGCTGTCCCTTGGATGCCATGCCTCTCACTTGGTCACTTCTCTGAGGGAGACACTCTTCAAGGAGTGTCTTTAGTGTTCCATTTGAAGTTCTGATTGAAGAAGAGTGGGAACTACTGTCAGTCAGGTTGTTCAGTTGCCGGAATAGGTGGCCGCCATCCAGCTACCTAGGACTCCTGTTGGGCTTGTCGGTGTGAACTGCTGACAGTGCCGGGCACTGTGCTTACCCAACATGACTTCTTACCAGGTGCAGTCTGGATCTGTAGTAAAAGATTTTCTGGTGTGATGTTACTCCTCAGCAAAGCTGCCTCAGCACTTGAATCTACTCTGAAGCACTTAGCAGAATGCAGTAACTCTTCCTTTTCAGGGTTCTTGAAGCTTCAGCAACTTATATAGATTTTCAAACTTAATATATTGGGAATAGGCTTCCTTCCTGGTAGCAGAATTTTTGCTGAACTCCTGTAAAGAAAGGACTATTTCCATCCTGTTGTAGGCACCTGGCTAGTGTAAGAATTTGAGACTCTGGGCATATGGTCAGGTAGCTTTCTTCACTTGGAGTTGTAGAATGTTGAATTGGCTGGTCTGAGGTGATCCTTTAAAGTTCCAGGGAGTAGAGGAGACTTAACATGCAGTAAGAACATAGCACTGTTAGAACCAACTTACTCTACCTTGCGGAAACTGCTACACAGGCCTGAGCCTATGTATATAAAGCTAGTGGCATGCTAGCCACTGCACATGGTCCTAGGATGGAAGGGATGATATTCACCCTTTACTCCAATGATTCGTCAGACAGTGGTGGTTCGGAGCCATTTACAGATCAGTTGAGGGGCTAGGAATGAAGCTTTGGTAGAGCACTTGTTTAACCTGTGAAGCCTTGGGCACCACAAAGAGTGGGAGGTGTGGATATCAAGCCAGTTGTGATGCCACACTGCTATAACCCCACACTTAGAAGACCGAGACAGGAGAATTGCAAGTTTGAGGCTAACCTGGGGAACATAAACTTTGTCTCCAAAAAAAGGGAGGGATATAGGAAATTCATCTAGTGACTTGTGGTTACTCTGGAAATTTATTTTTGTTTTTTGGAGATAGGGTCCTGCTATGTAGCCTGAGCTGGTGGTGTTGAACTCAGGATCTTCCTGTCTCAGCTGGGATTACAGGCATGTGTCCTTCTCCCTGGCTACTCTGGAGGGATAGTGGCTGACTACTGCCTTCCCTCATCTCTGTTTGCCTCTAAACTCAAATCACCAAAGGAATAGGTGCCAGTAATTCAGATACAGTGATTCATCCCTATTATTTGTAGTTTTAGAAAAGAAAATGGGGAGCTCATTTCAAGTAGGTGTCATTCTCCATGGGCAATGGGTAATCTGCAGGAGCTGGATGTTAGGGCAGCCTCAGTCATATACAAGAAAAGCCGGGAAATTTAAAAGGAGGTTCAGGAATAAAAAGGGCAGCCAGGCTTCTGCCCAATGGATGCCCCAGCCAGTGAGTTACTTGAACATTGGGAGCACATCTAGGCCAAGTACTGTGTTGAGTGGGGAGTGTAGAGGAGTCAGCAGGCAGAGGGGTCCTTGATCCGAATGTAAACTGTACTGTGTTGCCATTCCCCAGATTGCATTTCCCTTTTATCCCAAGTCAGGGCCTACATGTCACTGCACCAGAGCCTGCATCACTTAGTAATGGCCTGTGAAAAATTCCTTTTTAGAGGGTTCAGAACAGTGGTGGGCTCCTTTATGTATTACATTCATGGAGAACTGCCCCAGAGCATGTTCTTTCCAAGCCAAAAGAGAAGCATTCTCCATTACCAGGTGGCTTTTGTGTTGAGGTTTCAGCTCTACCAAGGCTTGAAAACATTTGAAGAATCCATGATTCTTAGCCAGTAGACTTTTCCCCCCATGCCCACTCTGGAGCTTTTTATAGAATGAAGTTCTGAATTGTACTGAGGCCTGTGGAACTAGTCCTATGGTCAGGAATGCCTTTCCCTCTGTCTCCGGCTTCCGTGATTCCCCTGACAATTGCTACTTCCAGGTCCTCTTATGCTAGAGGAAGAGCAACAAGATGGTGCAGCATTTGCTGTGTATAATTTCCTGTTTGTTTTTCAGAGGTCCTGCTTGTCATTGACAAGTTCCTTAGTCTGAGGCTAGTTGCAAACTGATATAGAAGCCTTTGTTGTCAAGTGATGCTTTGACAGGAACCATTAAACCTTTATTCTCCAAGGAGCAAGCCAGACTTGAAATTGATTAGGTTGAGCCCCTTTATAAACTAAAGGGATTACAGGTTTATAAACTGGCTTACCCTTCTTTCCCTTGCCTCCCACTTACTTCACTCACAAACAGCTATTCCCTGCTGAGGCACTTTGAGTTACAATCAAGCTACTCTTTTTGCTTTCTCTACATTTCCACAAAATATCTTCTGTGTATAAAAGTGGGGAAGAAGCCGGGCGTGGTGGTGCACGCCTTTAATCCCAGCACTTGGGAGGCAGAGGCAGGTGGATCTCTGCGAGTGCGAGACCAGCCTGGTCTACATAGTGGGTTCCAAGACAGCCCCACTACAGGGAGACTCTGTCTCAAAAAGACCAAAAAGAAAAAAAAAAAAAAAAGTGGGAAGAATGAAGGGTATGTATGCATTTAAAAAAAAAAAAAAATTAGAAGCTGGTAGCCAGGTAGAGTGGCACACACTTTTAATCCCAGCACTTGGGAGGCAGAAGCTAGAGAATCTGTTGAGTTTGAGGCCAGCCTGGTCTAAATAGTGCGTTCCAGGCCATCCAGGGCTACATAGTGAGACCCTCAAAATCAAAAAAGCCCTGAAATTAAAATTACTAGAATTTGCCTTCAGTTAAATTTATTGTGCTTAGATTAATAACTGAGCATAATTACCACTATTATCATCATCATCATCAAAAATGTCCCAGCGAGTTATGTTGCCTGGCTCACAGCTCACTCTTGTAATCCTAGTACTTGGGAGGCTGAGGTAGGAGGATAACAGGTGAATTCAGGCTAGCCAGAGCTACAAAGTGAGATCCTGTCTTTTTTTTTTAATATTTCATTTTTATTTTATGTGTACGAATGTAATGCCTGCATGTAGGTAAGTGTACCCATGTCATGTAGTGCCCTTGGAGGTCAGAAGAGGGCGTTGGATCCCCTGGAACTGGAGTTATGGGTGGTTGTCAGCCACCATGTGGGTGCTGGGAATTGAACCCAGGTCCTCTGCAAGAGCAGACAGAGCTCTTAACTGCTAAGCCATCTCTAGCCCCCGTCTTTTTGTTGTTTTAAGGAAAGAAAAGAGAAACAGAAACTTCTAATTTTCCATGCTAAACCTGCAAAGGACAGGCTGAAACTCCTTGAGGAAGGTTTTCAGTAGCATGCCTTCACCAGTGTGTCTCCCTCTTTTTCCCAGAGTCCTATCACTTGATTACTTCCCATCTGAGTGAGTTAAGACATGGTGAAGTTCTGGATTCTGAGCTACACTTTGTCAAAGCCAGTCAAAACTATCATAGAAATACTTAGAACTGCCTCAGTGTCTTGAGTACAAATAGAAGCTAGGGCCAGAGTCCAGACTAGCATCCTTTCCCCCAGACCACTTACCTTCCAGCTGATTTTATCTCTAAGATTGGCATTTTGAAACAATCACCTTTGTTTCCAAGACACTGAAAGTCTATTTCCCAGCAAGCCAGTGTGGGGAAGGAAGCAGTAATTGGGTCCAAGATTTGGGACTTTGGGACTTGAGTGCATCTGTTTGTTGCCTGGCAGTATCACATTCGGTGGAATATACTAAGGCTGGTAGAACGGTGGCATGGCTTCCTGGGGTCACCAGCTGAGAAACAGCTTTAGTAAGTAAAATGAGCCTGCACTTCCAGCCAAGCAGAAGAAGCTAAGCAAGTTGTTTATCTCCAAGCCTCAGTTACTTCATCATCTGTAGAGTGAGGTGAGAGCACTCGGCAGCATAGGTTGTTGTGGCTGAGGTTTGAATCAACATAAAGTATAACGTGCTTAATAAGGGCAGTTGCTGGGGCAGGCCCAGAGCTGAAGCTGCAGCACTTGCTCTCGTAGAAGAGTCCCACGTAAGAAGGCCAGCTCCCAAGAAGCCTCTCCGCTGGAACATCCATCGCTGGAAGCCCCAGGGTTAGGACGGAGCCTCAGGAACAGCTCCCCAGAGTGCCGTCACACTCTATTGTGGATTTTAGATGTTTCTGCTTCTCAATGTTCTCTCTTTTTTCCTGCCTGCTTGCCTGCCTTTTGGACTTCTTGCTGTCTAGGGTGGCAGATGAAGCTTTCTACAAACAACCCTTCGCTGACGTGATTGGTTATGTGTATGTTGCAAAACTAATTCCTTTTCTTGTTTTGATTCTTTTTGTTTAGAGTTTATGCTCCTTTTTGTCAAAAGTTGCTTTGCTCTTTAAAATATTTCACATTGGCACTGGGGGCTGCTTGAGAGTTGATAAGCTAGGTATGATTCATTGCTGATTTTGCAGAATTATGACTCCATGCATCCCTGGTGACCATTTTCATACTTGGGATCTTGGAGAGAAGCGAGCTTTCAAAATACGGGTTTTTCATGATCTTGTCTGGGAAGGGCTTGGGACTCAGGTGGACCCTGACCTCTTGCTGTCACTGCCCCTGGTGCTGCTTCCAGGCCCTGTTGCCTCCCTGAGTGCCCAGGGTGGGAAGGAGAGTCTCCCACCTGGGGCAGGTGATTCCCAGGATGTTAGAGCCCAAGAGCAGCACCAAAGTCAGAGCTGGGGAGGATAGAGGGGAGGGGTTCTGCCTGGTCTATTCTTGATCTTCAAAGAATGTGAGGTGGGAATGTGACTCAGGCAAAGCGGGTATCTATCATTGTTCCTGGTCTTCGCTATCAGAAGTTGGTTTTAGTGGCCAGCTTCTGATGCCCTGTCTCCCAGCACAGGCCCCCAGCTATGAGGTCAGGATAGACAAAACTGTCTGGTATGCCACTTCGATTTTTTTAGAAAAGCTTTTTTTAAAATAAGGATACTTGTTATAAAAGCAGTATTTCTGAGGGCTTCACTCTTCCTAAAAATTAGATCCAGCTTTTTGGGAAATAAGGGTGGAATGGAGGGAGGGAAAAAAAAAAAAACCTTTGGAAGGTGGGGGCAGGCTGAGGTCTATATAGAGCCTCCTTAGGCCCATGACCTTGAGATGTTAAAAGACAAAACTGGGTTTCCTGGGCCCCTGGATGCATTTGCAATGAGACTTGTGAAATGCTGGACTTACAGGTGGTTTTTATTTGACTTTGCACATCTCTCTGGAGTAGAAATGGAGACTGGAAAAGGTCGAGTCTGGTTTTGCTGGGCAGCAAAGTGGCCTGGCAAAGCCAGCTGCACGTTCCCGAGCATAGATAGAACGGCAAGGGCATGTCTAGCTTACTGACCATCTGCATTGAGCTCATTCTCATTTTCTATATCTGACCTAAAGTTTCTCTCCTTGTTTCTTTTCTTCTCTTCACCTTTAAGCACAAACATAAACCATCCTTGCTACAGCCTAGAACAGTTAAGTAAACCTTTCTCACTGCCCCTAACTGTGTGTGCCATGAAGTCGCAGTGTTGTAGTGGCTCTGGGCTTCAGCAGTGTTTGCCACGGCCATCCCTGTGATAGTGCCACCCCTCGTCCCCACAGACCGGCCATCTCCATTGCTTTTGCTTTGCCCGTGATGCTTGTTGGAGTAGATGAAATATTGTGTCTTCCCACCTCTAACCACTGTCCTTTGGGGCCGTAGCTCCTGCCAGTTAGTTCCCAACTGCGGGTGGGCTAGCCTTGATGTAAAAGAATATTAGAGTGGCATTTTGCCACATAAACACTGGCGTTGGCTCTCCTGCCAGAGTATGCCCTCTAGTAGCACCAGGCACCTGGCTGGAGAGAAAATGGCAAACTTTTGGCTGAAAGGTGAATGTCCTAACAAATCCCCTTCCAGAATGGCTTTCGTCTCTAGTGCCTGCTAGCATGGGAGCTTTGTCTTGAATTCCTTTTGCTCTGCCCTGTTTCTCTCCAGCCTTAGGAGTAAGTCTTGAGGTTATTGTGCAATGCCAAGGGCTTTTTAGAAATCTCAAGCCTTAAGCCTGAGTATAGCCCAGCATAAGCTATTCTCCCAAGTTCTTGACCAGCCTGCGCTTTGTTCTTGTTCATTAAAGCAGTGTGTAGGTGGCCAATGACTTGCTTTTTAATGCTCTTAGGCGCAGAAACAGCCCGAAAGAGAGACAGACTGAGCCCTGAACCAAACACCTGTATTCCACCATTTTACACAGCAGCCTGGGCACCTGTACGTAGGAGAGCTGGCCATGTCTGCCCCTGCATCTGACCTGGGCCAGGGGCTATTACTCTTGGTAAAACCAGAATGCCATTGAGTCAGGGGATAGGGGAGGTCACTTTTTTTCTAGCAAGGCAGCCACCAGGTTGCTCAAAGGGCGTTTTACATTAAACCAACATATTTTGTTATTGCTTCCAGGGCAGCAGAAGAAGCCTTTGTAAACGACATTGATGAGTCATCCCCAGGCACTGAGTGGGAGCGGGTGGCCCAGCTGTGTGACTTTAACCCCAAGTCCAGCAAACAGGCCAAAGATGTCTCCCGCATGCGCTCAGTCCTCATCTCCCTCAAGCAGGCCCCTCTGGTGCACTGAAGAGCCACCCTGTGGAAACACTACATCTGCAATATCTTAATCCTACTCAGTGAAGCTGTTCACGTAATTGGATTAATTATGTTGAGTTCTTTTGGACCAAACCTTTTGTCTTTAGAGTTGATCATTGTTTGTGATTGCATGTTTTCTTCAACTGTGTTCTCCCTGGCATTCAGAGAGGAGAGGGGAGGAGGAAGAGGAAGGGAGGGAAGCTCCCAACAGTAGCCTCGGCCTTTGCTTTTGTGCATTATTCTGAGAATAAATTTGTTTCAAACAATATACACAAAGCTTTGTTATTGACCTCAAAATATGCTTCAGCTTGAAGGCAGGCTTAAATGGTGGGGGAATTTGTATTTATCATTTCTGGGGCTGAAACAACCATTAGGGATCCAACCCCTCCTTAAAGTAAACTAACTCCATATTTCTGGCAGGTATCAGAGATTGAATCTAAGGTCTTGGGTATGCTAGGCAAGCATTCTACCACTGAGCTTTATTAGCCCTCTTTTTACTTTTTTTTTTTTTTTTTTTTTTTTTTTTTTTTTGGTCTCTTGAGACAGGGTCTCCTTGTAGCCCCAACTGTCCTAGAACTCATTATGTAGACCAGGCTGGCCTCAAACTCATGAAGATCCACCTGCCTCTGCTTCCCAAGTGCTGGGATTAAAGGCGTACGCCACCACGCCCAGCCCTACTTTTTGAGATGGGGTTTTCCTAAGTTGCCTATGAACTTGAGAGCTCCTCCTGCTTTAGCATCCTAGTAGCTAATATAACAGCCTGTGCCACCAGGCCTGGCTTCCATGTTTTTAATTTCTGTAGCAGAAGGAAATTCCATGGCTAGAAATTGACTCTAATCCTTAGCCTAAGACTGCCAATCCTCTCGCCAGCCTAGCTGTTTTCTCCCAGATGGACTCTTCCTCGTCAGCATCCCTCAGTTTAGGGTCTTAGATGGTATGTTTTCACAGGAGCCTGGGGTTATAGTGTTATCTGCCAGTAAACCCAAGTCAAGATGGTAGGAGTATGGCTAGACTCATTCCTTCCTTTTTAAAAAAATTTTTTAAGTTTTATTTTTATGTATATTGCCTGCATATCTGCAAATGCACCTGTGTTGTGCAATGGCCACAGAGGACAGAGGAGGGTGTCAGATCCCCTGAAACTGGAGTTAGACAGTTGTTAGCCTCCATGTGGATGAATTCTGCAAGAGTAGCCAGTGCTCTTAACCACTGAGCCATCTCTCCAGTCCTTCATTCCTTCATTTTTATAGCATATGTTGAGGGCCTTTGCCATTCCAAGCAACTTGATTCATACCCCTGTTGACTTTTCCTTCATCTGTACTTCTGTCGTCTAGTATAGTACTCAGTAGGCACATGTAACTATTTAAAAATTCCCATATAGGGGCTGGAGAGATAGCTCAGCGGTTAAGAACACTGACTGTTCTTGCAGAGGACCTGGGTTTGATTCCCAGCACCCACATGGTGGCTACAAACCGTCCTTAACATCAGTTCCAGGGGAATCCAAAGCCCTCTTCTGACCTCCGTGGCATTGCACGACACAGGTGCACTCACATACACCAAGGCAATACACTCATACACATAAAAATAATTTTTTAAAATAATAAAAAATAAAAATCCCCATCTAACTCTAGTCACATTTCATATGTCCATTAGTCACATACTGAGTAGATAGTATCATCCAAATTGGACAGTGGAGATAATGGAACATTTCCCTCATCCCAGAAGCTCTATTGGACCATGCTGGTCTACACAACAGGTAACTCCCACACATTCATTCTCTGCCTTGTGTAGTATGTGGCAGTTTGGGTTTCTTTTACTGTAAGCAATGAAGTAACTTTGTGTTTACATTTTCTTGGTATTATCTCCAAAATTATGAAAACTGACATACTACTCTCAGGAAAGGGATAAATGATCTTAACATTGCCAAGAAGTCAAGTCCACCATCTCTTGATGCTGATAATGTCTGGATTGGAGAGGAGCTTGCATTACCTTTCTTCTCCTTTCCTAGCTGCTTAGTAGGGTTTGATCTGACCTGTTTATTTTCCTCCCATTTGGTACCTCTGATTGAACTTAGGCAGGCACTCGCGTTCACAAACCATTTGTTCCTGGGGCTCCATCATTCCATTCAGAATGTTGAAGTTCAGTCTAAAAACAAGCTTGCAGGCACCTCCATAATGCCTTACTCTCCTCTTAACTCCCTTGGCCCTGGATCAGCTTATTTTGGGGTGTTGTCTGTATGCCATTATCTGGACCAGTCAGAGCTCCTGTTACCAGATGGGCTTCTTGAGGGAGATGGGCAGTTTTAAAATCTGCTATTGTCTGAATGAAGGGGTAACTAGATGACAAAAGTGATGCTGGGTCTAGATCATAAAAGCCAGCTTATAGCTGATTTGTTTAAATACTCTACCCCATAGCCCTGTGCCTCTGTATTAAAAGCTCTCCTGCTGTGAAGTCACATGGAGTGAGGAAGCCCAGGGTAGCTCACAGACCACCTAAGAGTGGTCCATGTCAGTCTGTAGATGTTTTAACCACTTGCTGTTCCAGCTTCACTGCTACAATTACAAGAGCAAGACACTGGGCCTAACCTGCCAAGTGAACGTTTCCCAGTTTCTGCTGCACAGAAGCCATGGAAGAGAACTACTCTTGTTAAAAAGTTACATGGCATTTATAATTTGTTTCTAATTCCTGTTTGCCCTATGTGGCTTCATGAAAGGAGGGAGTAACTGATCCGAGGGTGAGTCAGTGGGTGTTCAACACTTGGTTTTGAGCTCCATTCTTGGGGCTACTTTTTCTGAGTCAAATTTTAAATGTTACATAATAATACTTTTTAAAAAATATTTTATTATTTTTTATGTGTATGAGTGTAATGCCAGCATGTAGGTAAGTGCACCCATGTCGTACAATGCCTGCAGAGGACAGAAGAGGCTGTCAGATCCCCTGGAACTGGAGTTATGGACAGTTGTTAGCTGCCATGTCGGTGCTGGGATTCGAACCTAGGTCTTCTGCAAGAACAACCAGTGTTCTTAACCGCTGAGCCATTTTCTCCCTGTTGGTTAAGAAAGCAGTGGTACTAGATGCCTTAAATTACCGTGCAATATTAAAAAGTAAGCCAGGCAACAATATAAATCTCTTCTGAATAAGGTAGTACTTTTAGCCAGTTAAGGAAGAAAAAAAAAATACTACTATTAAGATTTGAAAAGGGGAATGTATTTATTTTATTATTTTAATTTTTTTTGAGAAAAAGTCTCCCTTGTATTTCCCATGTGGCCTGGAACTCATTATGTAGACCAAGCTGACCTTGATCTCACAGAGGCTCCAGCCTCTGCCTTCCTAGTGCTGGGATTAAAGGCATGCACCACCATGGCTGGCCCTATTTTTTTTCCTCTTTTGAATTTGGTTCAGAATAGTAACATACCATATTTACATTAAATAAATTAAGACATGATTTAACCATATGTAATAACATGTTGGATTATATTAGTCTTTCCACAAATTTGATCAAAACTAGGTTTGGTTTTCAGTTTGGTACCATTCTTTCATATATTTGACATGAAGCTTGATACCAGAGCAGTTGTTTGGTGGACAGTGATTATGGGTTTAGTCAAGGAATGAGGGATGCTTCTTTTTGTGCACCATCGTCCCTGTCATTCACAGACACTAAATTTGCTGGGTATGTTGGTGTATGCCTTTAATCCCAGCACCTGGAGACTGAGGCAGGCAGATCTCTGTAAGTTCCAGGCCAGACAGAGACCTGCCCAGAAAAAAAGAAAAAGACACAATATTTGGAATATATAAAGAATTCAAATACTACTTCTCAGGTTATAAGAACTTAAGATAATAAGCACCTAGTTCTTAGGCACTTAACAAGTGTGGTTAGGACTTATTCAGGTTGTGATTAGTAAGCAGAACTTTTGACTTTATTGTCATCATTGAGAAAGCACATATTCTAAGCTGGGTTTGGTGACTGGTGTCTATAATCCTAGTACTCAGGAAGCTGAGGCAGGACTGCCATGGGTTCAAGACCACCCTGAGATACAGTAACACAAGGGAGACGGTCTCAAAAACAAGAATAAAAGCACAAATTTTAATTTAGTCTGAATCCAGATTTGTGGATCTGGGTTCTAGGGGTTAAATAAAAATGACCTTCATAAATACTCTGGAATCTGAAACAACACAGTAGGAAAAGCTACTGAAGCTGGGGGAGAAGTGTCCAGGACAGAAGCAAAGACCCTTTTGGGACCGCCAATCTCCTTTCTGGGGCTCCTAAGTCCTATGTTCTTAGCTTTCCCTAAGAAGAGGACAAGGTCACTAAGGCTACCGTTAGTTCACAGCTCAGGGCTAAAGTCTTATATGGACTGCTAGAGTAAAACCTCCTTCAATAGACAGACATGTCCAATGTCTTGATTGTAGTGATTCTTTCACACAAGTCAAAGCTTATTAAATGTACACATACTTGTTACACTGTTAAACAGAAAATATATGTAACCATTTCCTGGTAAGATTCTCTTCTGTTCTCTGACTTACTCTTTCTGTGGTCAGAGAAAGAAAAATTAACCCAAATGCTCCCATAAAGCCCACATGCCAAAGGTCTAGGTGTACATTAGTAAATGGAGTCCTGAGGCTTCTGGGTCTGTTGATGTTGTTGGCTCTTTTTGGAACTTAGAGGATCTGCACTAAAGTGACCTCAGGAAGAGCGGCCTCTACAGAAATGTGCATGGGGAAGGGTGGATTTAGAAGCAAAGACAAAAAGCAAAGTTACTTCTGCCAGTGTTGCTGGCAATTAAATTCATCTAAAAGACACGAACATGATTTGACTAAAAAACTCTTGGTTCTCAGTCCATGTCCACTCCCAGAAGGCCTAGTGGATCCTGCGAGTGGTGTAGTCCAGAACCATGCTGGCAGCGCCAAGCAGGGCGGGGTCAGCCAAATCTGAAACCACCACATCCACATCCTGCACAGACGACAAAGCTTGCTGGCGGATGACATCCTTGACAATGTGAATGTAGTGACTGGCCAGGACTCCAGACAGGATCACCAGGGAAGGATTCATAGTGTGGAGGATGTTTACAACCCCAAGTCCCAAAGCAGTTCCAGCTGTAGGAGAGCAAAAGTGGAGTAAGTTTCCAGGAGAGCTAAATCAAAACACGAGGAAGCAGCCAGGAATGGTAAAGTACATTCATACTGTGCAGCAGGAAGTAGTATTTTAGAAGCTGCTCATGATTTACTCTGGTCTTTTGAGACAGGCCAGCCTCTAACTGGCAGCAAACTTCTTTTCTCAGTTTCCAAGTGCAGGAAGTGTAAGCTTTGAGATAGC